TGATTCTTCTTCATCCTCCTAAGTAATTAAGATTACAGACATGCACTGCCATGTTGGGTCTTATTGTAGTTTTAAGGAATCTTTGGATATTTTGGAAACCAAACTTAATCTGATAAAGATTTCCTCCCAAATTGTGGCTTGTCTTTTCATTTTTCAAAGAAAAGTTTCAAATTTCAACAACATAGAATTTATCCCCTGGGAGTGGAGTTAGGGGAAGTTCCTTATTAGTTGCCACGTGTGGGTACTTGGAACCGAACCTGGGTCCTCTTGCAGAGGACCCAGTGTTCTTGATTAACGAGCCGTGTCTCCAACCCCCACTTGACTGCTTTTTATGAGTCTGTTTCCGTTATTTTTTCTTGTGTATCATTGGTCTGCTTGTATGTTTTTCTCACCAACTTCATCATGCATTGATGATTATGGCTTTATAGTAAGTCTTAAATTGAGTACTGTGGTAGACTTTTTTTTTTTTTTTTTTTTTTTTTTTTTTTTTTTTTTTTAAAAAAAAAAAAAAGAGGGGTCTTTTTGAAGCAGGGTCTCCTTGTAGCCCTAGCTGTCCTGGAACTCCAGACCAGGCTGCCCTTGAACTCACAGAGATCTCCCTGCCTCTGCCTCCCAAGTGCTGGGACTACAGGTGTGCGTCACCATGCCTGGCTGTCTGGTGGACATTTTAAATTTGAGATTGTGTTAAATCTGTATAATTAAGCTAGAAAGAGCTGATATCTGACACTACTATCCATATACACAAAATGCCTTTCCATTCATTTAGATCTGTGATTTATTCCATTAGAATTTTGCAGTTTTCCCTGTTAAGGTGTTGCATATGTTTCAAACTTCAAATTATCTTTTTTTTTTCACTTGTATAAGAAAGCATCTGGGATTGTCAACAATTTGGGAGACATTCTCATTTCCTTATTGCTTCAAATACTCTGCCCCCTTCTCTCATCACCTTTGGGATAGTACTTTGCATGCATACTAACATCTTGTGATTGTTCTGTGGTTCTTGGTTATTCTCTTTTGTCCCGTTAGGTGCTTTCCCCCTCTCTGTTCATCACTTTGGAAGTTCCTATTGACCTATCTTTGAGCTTACTGATTCTTTTCTCCAGTTATTATATAAACACTCTTAACTACACTGTGGAAGTAAGAAGAAAGAATCAGATCCCCTGGAACTGGAGTTACGGACAGTTGTTAGCCATCATGTGGATGCTGGGAATAGAACCCAGGTACTCTGCAGGACCAACCAGTGCTCATAACCTCTGAGCCGTCTCTCCAGCCCTGTAGATTCCTTTTTTATTTAACAATTTTATTACTGTGTATGTGCATGAGAATGGGGATGGGGAAGGTGACACATACCACGGTGCATGTACAGAGGTCAAAAAGTAACTTTATGGAGTTGGTTTTCTTCTTTATCATTTGTGTGGATTCTGGGGATCGAACTTAGGTGGCTACGCTTGCTTGACTTTTTGCTTTTACCTACTAAGCCACCTCACTAGCCCCCCCAACCCAGACCCCCACACCCTAGGATTTCTGATCAGGAAATTGTTTTTCTGCCTGTTTTTCTGATTAGTGACAGTGGTGCATACTAAGGTGACAGATTTTTATTTTTATGGATTCACAGTGAACAATTTTAATTGTTTTGTGGCATTGACTGTTAGGGAAAATTTCCCCTGACTCTCAGGTTATTTAAGGAACTCTAAAATATATTTATGGTTTTATTTACTGATTTATTTGACCTTTATGTTGGTGGATGTTGTTAGGACAGGCCATTTTTATCTTGTTAACAGCTGCCTATTCAGTTACCCTACCACTACTTACTAAGAAGATGATACTACTGAAATCTTTATCTCTTTGTTTCCTTTGTGTGTGGGGTGTGTGCAGGTACCTACTTTCCTATGTGTGTGCACATGTGTGTGCATGTGAATGCCAGAGATCAGTATCAAGTGTCTTTGTTTTCCAGTTCAGTTTTCTAGACAGGGTTTTCCACTGAACATGTAGCTTATCCATGCAGCTAGATGGGCTGGCCAGTGAACTCCAGGGATCTGCCTGTATTCATCTCCCCAGCACTGGGATTACAGACATGTGTCACTGTGCCTGGCTTTTACATGGGTGTTGGGAATCTGAAATCAGGATCTTATGCTTGTGTGGAAGCACTTTACCAACTGAGCCCTCTCTCTATCCCTTTCATCTTTATCTTACAGTAAAAGTTCAGTGTGTACTTGGAATATAGTTTTAGATTTCCTCTTTTATTTTATAACCAATTTATATTCATTTATAAGCATCACATTGTTTTTTCTTTTTTTTTGTCTTTTTGAGACAGGGTCTCCTTGTAGTCCCAGCTGTCCTGGAACTTACTATGTAGACCAGGCTGGCCTTGAACTCACAAAGATCCGCCTGCCTCTGCTTCCCAAGTGCTAGGATTAAAGGTGTGCGCCACCATGCCTGGCTAGACATCACATTTTTAAATAATATTTACATCTTCTAAATATGATGTTAGAGCCATTATATGTCTTCTTTCTTGTTTTTCAGGTGTTTGTGTTGCTATTATTTATTCAATATGAATATTATAATTGTAGGGAAAAATAACTACTGTTTATGTTCACTACTTTCTGTTTCTGTGACAAAATACTCTGACAAAAAGCAAACTGGGGAACAAAGGATTTTATTTTAGTTCACAGTTCCAGAGGGAATGAATACATCATGGTGGGAAGGAATGACAGCAGGAGTGTGAGGGTGACCTGGCAGCCAGGAAGCAGACACACCACATTTCATTTGCACACAGGAAGTATAGAGGGAGTAAAGTAAGTGGGGCCATGCTATTAACTGCAAAGCCTGTCCCCAATGATGTATGGATTCCTCCAGCAAGACTCTACCTCCCAAAGCTTCCTTAGCCTTCCTAAACTGGCCACCACCTGGGGACCAGGTGTCCAAACACATGAGCCTATGGGGACCATTTCTCATTCATACCACATACTGATATTTTTAAAAATTGAGCTTTTTGCGTAATTTATAAATTAACACAGGGAGAATTGGCATAAGGATGCTTCTTAGTTTAGGTTTTTTTTTTTTATTGTTTTTGGAGTTTGAGGACAATCTTATGTAACTGTTTACCTCTCTGGGTTATAATTTTATCCAAATTAGTTTGGTCTGTTCTTTCTTCACTGATATAAAATAGAAATTACTGTTTCCATAATTATTGGGTAAGTACTTTTAATTTGTGTTCTGTTGTGTATTTTATTCCACTGTTCTGTCCCTAAATATGACAAGGCATACTAATCTTTTGTAGGGCTAAGTGTTTACTTTCAGCAATGTTTTGACTGATGAGCTGGTTTATTTTCTTATAATTATTTTGTCAAGTATAAAACCTAACCCATCAGTCCTTTCATTGAAATTATTTTATAGATTTTTTTTTAAAGTTTGTCAATTATTTGTGTTTTCCTCTACTTTGGAGGGGTCATTAAAATCTCTTGTGTGTGTCATATATGAGGCAAATTCATGTGTGTGTTCAGGTGCCGGTATGTGCTCATGTAGAGGCCTGAGCAGGAGGACATTTAGGCCATCCTGCTCTAGCACTTTGCATCCCTTGAGACAAGGTCTCTCTTTGAAGCCTGCCATTTCAGGTAGGCTAGCTAGCCAGTGACCTCCCATGATCTGTCTGCCTTCTCCACTCCCCAATGTGGGTCACAGGCACACCTGGCCTTTATATGGGTGCTGGGGATTTACTCTGGTCCTCAGGCTTGTGCAGCAAGTGCTCTTACCCACAGCCATTTTGCAGCCCCTAGAAGCTTTTCTTAACAAATTTTTGTTATGTATATGGAATCTTAACTTTTGGTATATAGGTTATTTTTGAATCCAACTACTTTGTATTCTTTTAGATTTTTAGGAAGATAATCAGCACATCTGCCAACAACTGTAATTGCAGTTTTTCTCTTAGAGTAATTTATTATAAATTTTGCTTATTAAGTTCACTATAGAATTAGTAGTAGTGAAGATTTAATTTATATCATATACAACACCTGACACTTGCCTTTTAATTAGGACATTGGTCATTGATTTCAGAGAGGTACTATAATAAACTTTAAAAAGAATCCTTATATTGCAATTTGACTAAAAGTTCTTTGCTGTTTTTAATTAGGAACTGATTATGAGCTATGTTAAGGTGTCTTTTTTGTCATGATGTTACTTTATTTCATGATCCAATGAGTTTTGTTAGTTTTTCTGTTCTTGATTTACTAAATAAAGCTTTACTTGTGGCATTTCTTTATATAACTTTGGATCCATTTAAGTTTCAAGATTTAAAAAATCCAAGTATAGCTACAAAGTTTGTATGTGCGTACATACTGTGCTTTGTCTAGTAGGACTATACTCTGGTTGCATAAAGTTGTAATTTTTATGCTTTCAAATAGGTCTTACATAAACCAATTATATGTTGATTGAAAGCTTACTTGAAATCATCTAACATCTGTCTGGGCCTACAATTTTTTATTAAAAGCAGCATTATTAAAAGTAGCCCTTTAGCTGGGCGTGGTTGCACACACTTGCAGTCCCAGCACCTGGGAGGCAGAGGCAGGTGGATCTCTGTGAGTTCAAGGCCAGCCTGGTCTACATAGTGAATTTCAGATCGCCTGGGACTACAGGGAGACCATGTTTCAAAAACACGAAAAAAAAAAAATGTAGCCCTGTAATCTTTAAACTACATTCATTTTATTCAGCTTCTGCTGAAAGACAGTTTTCTCATTATAGTTAAGAATTTAATTACAGTTCACAACTGTACAATGTGAAGATTAGCAGAGTGGATTTTAGTGTATTCTTTAGGAGGAAAAATACACTTCTTTTGTGTTATTGAGACATTAAATTAAATTTTGAGAAAAGATGTGTTAACCAAATAGCAGTTTTTTCAAAGGATTAATCCCTCCATGCTAATACTTTATCTTTAAAAATCAAAACTATAGATAGGTCATAAGAATGAAAGTCTTTAATACGATTTATTCTCTTCTCATTCTTAGGTGCATTTTATCTGGTGTTTGAATATATGGACCATGATCTGATGGGACTACTGGAATCAGGCTTGGTTCATTTTAATGAAAATCATATAAAGTCTTTTATGAGACAGCTCATGGAAGGTCTGGATTATTGTCATAAGAAAAACTTTTTGCATAGGGATATTAAGTGTTCAAACATCCTTCTAAATAATAGGTATGGTTATGAGCTTATCTTTGTTTAAAGTATCATATAACATATATACCTTCATTCTGTTAAAATTTAATTGATTGCTTCAAATTTTTAGTGTAATAAACTGCAATTTGTTTTAACTGCCTTTAAAGTTGTGTTGAGTAAGTTCCTATAATGGTTTGTAATGTACATACAGTAACATGGCTTTTTCGTTTGGTATTCTTCCAGATAATGTGAAATGGATCTAATTAATAATGTGATTACATCTTGAGGTTACATTCCTAAATTTTAAGATTTTTTTATTTTGTGTGTATGAATGTATTACCTACATGTATATAAGTGCACCCATGTTGTACAATGCCCATGGAGGGCAGAAGAGGGCATCAGATCCCCTGGAACTGGAATTAAACTGGCTGCTATATGGTTGCTGGGAACAGAACCCAGGTTCTCTGAAAGAGCAACCAGTGCTCTTAATTGCTGAGCCATCTCTCCAGTCCTAAGTTACTTAGATTTTTTTTAAAAAAGCAGCCATCAGAGGTTTAAAGTGAATCTTTAAAAAGTGTATATAAGGGTACATATTTAAATTTTAAGTGATTTGATTTAGTTCTTGAGCACCGTTGGCTTGAATAAGTATTCTTATTCCTGTACAATAATAATTCTCATTTATTTTATTGAGATAAATTTCTAAATGGGAACTGAAACAGTACCTGAAATACTATTATGCTAATACTATTAAAATAATACTGTACCAGTCCGTTCTTTTCCCTGGGGAATTGGTTCTAAACTACCCCCTACACTGCACCCTCTTAACAAACTCTAAGGATCTCAAGTCCCTTACATAAAATAAGATGGTAATTGTTCATAACCTATGTACCTGTCTAGATTATTTAAAGTCTTGAATGAATAAATATTTGGTATACTCTTATTTAGGGAATATTAACACGCAAAAATGTTTGCCTCTCAGTACAGTATGCTCCCTCCAAAATTTTTGATCTACAGTTGGTTGAATCTTATATTCGGAATTTGGAGATAGGGAATATCAAATATGCTCATAATAATAATGATAGTAATGATTGTTGGATGGACTCTGTCCTTGATGCTGTTACTAGTATTTTGAGTCATCCAACAACAAATTGCCCAAAGCAGAATGCCAATTGTTACCTTGTAAATTTTCTACGATTCGGCTTTTTCTGTAGTACCTCTGTGTAATGAAAGTTTCTGTGTTCTTATCATGCCTGTCATTTTTTTCTTGTTTCCACCAGAGGGCAGATAAAACTTGCAGATTTTGGACTTGCTCGATTATATAGCTCTGAAGAAAGGTAAGACTACTTTGAGTGAATTATTGTATACACTAAGTTCAGTTTAAGAAACTATTTAGAAGATAGATTCCTTTAAAGACACATTCACCCTTTTTTTTTTTAAAGTAATAAAGTAGTTTGCTTTAATAATTTTATATATTCAATTTTAAAATAATTTTGGGTTTTTAAAACAGATAAATATGTTCTATAAAAATATATAGCTTTACATATGACTGGAATGAACTTAAAATTTTAAAGCTCATACCTAGATATTTAATTCAGATCTAGACAATAAGGTGTTCTTTATAATTTTTGTATTCAGTAAAACCTTTAGTATATGCTTTATACATTGTACATTTAAATTTACAAACTTTGTTTTTATTATTTTAGACTTCACCTTTTTTGTTTTTTGTTTTACTTATATCTACAGTAGTCTTTTTTTTCAACTCCCTGGAACTATTTAAACAAGCAATTATGAGGAAGTTCAGTATATAAGATAGAGAAAGATGGAACTTCTCTGGCTAAAATTGGGGTGTGTATCTGACTGGTTCCCTTTGTCTCTGGTGGTAAAGAAATAGGACTTTTCTTATTAAAATAAGAAATTTAAAATGAAATACTTTGTGAAATAATGATTTTATGTAAATAAGCTGTGGGATTAAATGGGTTTAATAAATCTAGTCAGTGTAGCTCATTCCTGTTTTGTTTTTTCAGATTTGTGTATCTGTTAAGAAATCCTTTATGAATTGGCTTTCTCCTTTAACTGAAATTTTAATGGGTATAAAAAATTATGCTTATTATGTACAACATTATTTTGAAATATGTATACATTGTAGAATGAGTAAGATTCTCTTTTTTTTTTTTTCTTTTTGGGTAAGGACACTCTTAGCAAATTTCAGGAATATATTATTTCTTTGTTTGCCATGCCATACAGTTAAATGTCTTGAACTTACTCTTTCCACAAAACTGTATATCTTTTTGAGCAGTCCCCAAACCTTCACCCACACAGCTCTTGCTAATCACCACGCTTGACTCTATACATCTCTGAATTCAACGTTTTTAGGTTTCATACACAAGTGAGATCACGTGGCTTTTGTCTGCTGTGCCTGACTTAATGTCTTTGAGGTTCATGTGTGTTGTCACATAGATGCCACAATGATGGGACAACAATTTTTTTTTTTTTTTTTTTTTTTTTTTTTTTTTTAAAAAAAAAAAAAAAAAAAAGAGGACGATAAATCTTTCACTGTGATATATCAAAATAA